AGCACCCCCAGGCTCAGTACCTCCAGTCTCAGCACCCCCAGACTCAGCACCCCCAGACGCGGCACCCGCAGACCTGGCACGCGCAGGCTCAGCACCTCTAGCAGCACCAGAGTCAACAGCTACCTCGACAGGCTCGACTGCGTCTACCTGGGACACACCTGAAGGGGCAGGACCCTGAGGAGGGAGGGGGTCTACCTGCGTAGCACCTGGTGCAAGGAAGAGCGACGGCGGGGGGAGGGATGCAGTGCGGTAGGGGAAGAGACGGTAGTAAGGCACCGACTCGTCAAAGGTGACGTCCTGAGTGGACAGAACACAGCGCGTGGTGGGGTGGTAAAACTGCCAGCCAGGCGCATCAGGGGGGAAGCCAAGGAAGACGCAAGGAACAGCACGGGGGGACAGCTTGTCCGCAGACAAGTCGCGGACAAACGCCCGAGATCCCCAGACCCGAAACGCAGACGCATCGCCAACCTTCCCTGTCCACCGCAAGGCGGGGGAGGTCTCTGGCAAGGAGACCCGGGGCTGAAGGTTGAGCTGATGTGCGGCGTACTGAACCGCAAACGACCACAGAAAATGGGGGGCAGTCGCATGCATCATGGACGTACGCGCGACGTCCATGACCATGCCAATGCGGCGCTCAGCAATCCCATTTTGCTGTGGAGAGGCCAGAAGCGTGAAGGTCTGGCGGATGCCCTGTGCCCGACAGAAGGCTCCCAGACGGGCAGAGGAAAACTCCCCTCCTCTGTCCGAGTGCAGACGCAAAACAGGAAAGTCCGAGACTAAACTCTCTCTGAGCTGGAGACGAGCTGCGCGGATCCAGTCGATCAACACCTTAGTGACGTCACCCTTGCTGCGCAAGGGGAAGACTGTGGTGTAACGCGAGTAGTCGTCAACGACCAGCAGAAAGTACCGCTCTCTCCCCTACCCACGGACGCGGGCTGGGCCCCACACGTCCATGTGTAGAGTCTGCAGCGGAACCTCTGTCGGAGGAAACTCGGAGGAGTGAGGGGCGGCGCGCTGTCGCCCCTCGACGCAGGGGATGCAGGTAGGGCCAGGCCCCGGAGGAAGGGGAGGGAGAGACCAAGGAAGACCAGAGACAAGGCAAGGAGGGGTGACCAAGGAGGTGGTGCCAAAGGAGAGTATGGTGGGACAGCAGACGACACGAGCAGGGGGCAGACTTAGGACCAGACCTGGACGCCGCAACAAACACCTGACTCGACGCAGCTACCTGGGCAGACTCAGCAGTAGGAGGAGACTCAGCACTAAGGGTGTACAGGCTCGACCCTGGCCGACGGGTGAACGTGGCCAAGTGTCGGCCTGTCCGAGCACACCTGCAGTGGGTCACTCGCTGACTCGCAGGAGTGAACTGGTCAACCCCTCGATCCTGTAGGTCCACTACACTCACCAAGTTTGTAGAGGACGAGGGGAGGTAGAGACCAGACAGGGTGCCAGAGGGGGCTGCAGGGCACGGAAGGACAGTGGAGAAGCTAGCAAGGACAGGACCCCCAGAGGGGTCTGCCAGGGAGACTGCAACCGGCCGACTAAGCGGCGTAAGAGTGGTGCGGACTCGAAAGAAGGAGCGGGACGCACCCGAGTCCAAGGTGAAGGTGTGGAAGGCCTGAGCCGACGTAGTACCTGAGAGAGCAGACTCACCAGCGCCTGGGGCGGCAGACGCACTGGCACCTGGGGCAGCAGACGCACTAGCACCTAGAGCAGCAGTCTCACCAGCACCTAGCGCAGCAGCCTCAATGCCCGGGTCAGGCGGTACACACAGGTAACAGGCACCCTCAACACTATCAGCAACAGCATACATGGCAGCAAGAATAGCATCAAAGTCAAGATCAAAGATAGCAACCCCAGCGAGGGATCTCTGACGCCTCAGGGAACTGGCGACGCCACGCGTCCGTCAGGCGACCAAAGCAGCGCTGGGTGGAGTGCGGACCTCCGCACTGCTCACCAGTGCGGTCGCCGGTATGGAGAACGTAAGAGCAGGGACAAAAACCCCCACCGCGCTGGCGTGCAGTGTACCACTCACGAAGGTGCTGATGGGACAGGGTCACACCACTCCGCTGCTGCTGCTAGCGGCGACCACCACCGGCGCCACTCCTCGGCGCAGAGTCGCGACTCGCTCCACCACCGCCGCCTCCGCCGCCGCCGCCGCCTCCGCCGCCGCCGCCGCCTCCGCCGCCTCCGCCGCCTCCTCCACCTCCGCCTCCTCCACTACCTCCGCAGCCTCCGCTCCCTCCGCCACCTCCACCGCCTCCGCCGCCTCCACTGCTGCCGCCGCTGCCGCCACCCCCAGCAACACTCCCACCACCACCCCCACTCCCTCCACTGCCTCCACCACCACCTCCACCGCCCCCTCCACCCCCTCAAGTGCCCTTGCCCCCCTTGCCCTTGCCGGTGCGGCGTCTCCCGCTCGGGGCAGACGCAGCGCCGACCGACTTGAAACCAACGAGGTCGGCCGCAGCAGCAGAGGCAACAGAGGGCAAGAGGGGGGAGGGAGAACACCCCTCAAAGACGGGGGTGCGAGGGTCACCACGAGAGGCTCCTACAGGAACTATGCTCTTCTCTATCGCTAGGAGGGCCTTCTCGAGGAGGTCAACGGTGAGAGTGGTGGGGCAAATAGAGAGGAAGTGGTCCCTGACTACACGGAGAGAGTCAGGGAGACGGGTGACTATGTAGTAGAGGGTGATGTACATGGGGGGGGGGGTTCTTGGCGCAGAACTCAGCAGGAAGCGCAGCGCGGTAGCGAGTGTCACTAGTGCGGAGGTGCGTAATGAGGTCAGCGACTGTGGGAAAGGCAGCAAGGTCAGGGAAGAGGTACGGTAGCATGAGGCGGCTTAGTGCAGCAGTGGCAGGGGAAGAGTAGCGTGCAACTACAGCGTCGTACAAGGTCTGAGCACTCTTGTACTGGCTAAAGTGTGCACGCTCAGTGGTCGGTAAGTGGCGGCGCACAGCAAGGCGAGCACCAGCTTCACGTGTGGCCCACTGTGAGCGAACAGTGGCGTCAGCATCAACAGCAGGGGCAGGGGAGGCACCAGAAGTGAGGTCAAACAGGGAGAGGCCATCTGCCCTATCGCACTGCAGGAAAAGCTGCAGATCATCTACCAAGACCTCAAAGTCCACTGCCCGACCCTCAACGTCAAAGGTGAGAACGCTAGGGGAAGCCATAACAGCAGGAGGCAGGGCAGTGCAGTGGCAGAGACTGTGCTCTTACCAGGTAGGTGGAGCGATCGGGCTGCTCGGCGGCTCGGCTGTCGGGCGGCTCGGCTGCAGGGCGGCACGGCTGCTGGGCGGCTCGGCTGCTCGGCGGCTCGGCTGCTCGGCGGCTCGGCTGCATGGTGCTGGGCGGCTCGGCTGTCGGGCGGCTCGGCTGCTGGGCGGCTCGGCTGCCGGGCGGCTCGGTTGTTGGGCGGCTCGGGCGGTCGGGCGGCTCAGCTGGCCGGCGGTTCGGCTGCTCGGCGCTGCGGGCGCTGGGAGGCGGGGTCGCAGGTGGTGGCGAGGTCGCAGGTGGCGGCGTAGAGGGGCCACAACGGGGCCGTAGCGGGGCCTAAGTGGGGCCGTAGCGGGGCCGATGGGGCCGAAGCGGGGCCCAAGTGGGGCCGTAGAGGGGCCGACGGGGCCGAAGCGGGGCCGCGACGGGGCCGTAGCGGGGTCGTAGCGGGGCCGCAGCGGGGCCGCAGCGGGGCCAAAGCGGGCCCGGCCTGAAGCGAGGCCTGAGCGGGGCCGCGACGGGGCCGACGCGGCCTAAGCGGGGCCGATGGGGCCGTAGCGGGGCCGTAGCGGGGCCGTAGCGGGGCCGTAGCGGGGCCGACGGGGCCGACGGGGCCGTAGCGGGGCCGTAGCGGGGCCTAAGCGGGGCCGACGGGGCCGTAGCGGGGCCGTAGCGGGGCCGTAGCGGGGCTTAAGCGGGGCCGACGGGGCCGTAGCGGGGCCGTAGCGGGGCCTAAGCGGGGCCGACGGGGCCGACGGGGCCGTAGCGGGGCCTAAGCGGGGCCTAAGCGGGGCCGACGGGGCCGTAGCGGGGCCGTAGCGGGGCCGTAGCGGGGCCTAAGCCGGGTCGTAGCGGGGCCGACGGGGCCTAAGCGGGGCCGTATCGGCCTAAGCGAGGCCGTACAGGGCGGCTCGAGGGGCAGTAAGGGTGGCCAATAGGCGCCACTAAGGCGGCTTGAGGTCCTACTCGGGTTAGGAGCTAAGCGCGCTCCGGGAAGGAAAAAAAAGTTCGTGGTGGGCCCTAGGCAGTATTCCCACTCGGGAACCTGCTCGATACCATGACGAGAAGTGAGAACGGAATGAATGAACTATGAAACAGTTGGGTACAAGTACTAACTCTAATTGGGTTGTACCCCTTATGGGCTACCCCACTACAGCCTACACAAATGTATAAGCTATAATGTTCTGACAGATATGATGAACTAAATATTGAATGAAGAATGCATAATTATGCTGCATATACGACTGTGGTAATGAAATGAATGCATAGCATGATGAAAATGCGTCACAGTTAATTGATCCAGACCCTATGCTACCGCATCCCTTGCCTAGCATGGGGGGGAGCTAAATAGCATAGTTCCTGAATCAACCAGCTGTCACATGAAACAACACAATCTGTGCAATCTAAAAAAGGTCAATTCTATCAAATCCATTTCGAATGGACACACTCACTAAGTGCGCAAAGATCCTTCTCGGAAATGATAGTTTGATCCATTTTTTTAAAACACACCAGACATGTGTTATTAATGCAATGGAAGCATGAATGAAAGCACATGCGCACACAACACAACGAATACACACACGCACATAGACACATACAAACACATACACATAATCACACACAATCACACAAACTAAAAACGCTCAATGCATCAACTGTTTAGAAAAAAAACCTAGGAGCAAAATTATACCTTAGCAATATACATACAACCCTACACAGAACAATCTGTACATACCTTAGCTACCTGGGCAGACTCAGCAGTAGGAGGAGACTCAGCAGTAAGGGTTTACAGGCTCGACCCTGGCCGACGGGTGAACGTGGCCAAGTGTCGGCCTGTCCGAGCACACCTGCAGTGGGTCACTCGCTGATTCGCAGGAGTGAACTGGTCAACCCCTCGATCCTGTAGGTCTGCTCCACTCACCAAGTTCGTAGAGAACGAGGGGAGGTAGAGACCAGACAGGGTGCCAGAGGGGGCTGCAGGGCACGGAAAGAGAGTGGAGAAGCTAGCAAGGACAGGACCCCCAGAGGGGTCTGCTAGGGAGACTGCAATCGGCCGATTAAGCGGTGTAAGAGTGGTGCGGTCTCGAAAGAAGGAGCGGGACGCACCCGAGTCCAGGGTGAAGATGTGGAAGGCCTGAGCCGACGTAGTACCTGAGAGAGAAGACTCACCAGCACCTGGGGCGGCAGACGCACTGGCACCTGGGGCAGCAGACGCACTAGCACCTAGAGCAGCAGTCTCACCAGCACCTAGCGTAGCAGCCTCAATGCCCGGGTCAGGCGGTACACACAGGTAACAGGCACCCTCAACACTATCAGCAACAGCATACATGGCAGCAAGAATAGCATCAAAGTCAAGATCAAAGATAGCAACCCCGGCCTTAGCCAGATTTCCCCAGCGAGGGATCTCTGACGCCTCAGGGAACTGGCGACGCCACGCGTCCATCAGGCGACCAAAGCAGCGCTGGGTGGAGTGCGGACCCCCGCACTGCTCACCAATGCGGTCGCCGGTACGGAGAACGTAAGAGCATGGACCAAAACCCCCACCACGATGGCGTGAAGTGTACCACCAACGAAGCTGCTGAGGGGACAGGGTCACACCACTCCGCTGCTGCTGCTGGCGCTGACCACCACCGGCGCCACTCCTCGAGGCAGAGTCGCGACTCGCTCCACCACCGCCGCCTCCGCCGCCGCCGCCGCCTCCGCCGCCGCCGCCGCCTCCGCCGCCTCCGCCGCCTCCTCCACCTCCGCCTCCTCCACTACCTCCGCCACCTCCGCTCCCTCCGCCACCTCCACCGCCTCCGCCGCCTCCACTGCTGCCACCGCCGCCGCCACCCCCAGCACCACTCCCACCACCATCCCCACTCCCTCCACCGCCTCCACCACCACCTCCACCGCCCCCTCCACCCCCTCCACTGCCCTTGCCCCCCTTGCCCTTGCCGGTGCGGCGTCTCCCGCTCGGGGCAGACGCAGCGCCGACCAACTCGAAACCAACGAGGTCGGCCGCAGCAGCAGAGGCAACAGAGGGCAAGAGGGGGGAGGGAGAACACCCCTCAAAGACGGGGGTGCGAGGTTCACCACGAGAGGCTCATACAGCGACTATGCTCTTCTCTATCGCTAGGAGGGCCTTCTCGAGGAGGTCAACGGTGAGAGTGGTGGGGCAAATAGAGAGGAAGTGGTCCCTGACTACACGGAGAGAGTCAGGGAGACGGGTGACTATGTAGTAGAGGGTGATGTACATGGGGGGGGGGGTTCTTGGCGCAGAACTCAGCAGGAAGCGCAGCGCGGTAGCGAGTGTCACTAGTGCGGAGGTGCGTAATGAGGTCAGCGACTGTGGGAAAGGCAGCAAGGTCAGGGAAGAGGTACGGTAGCATGAGGCGGCTCAGTGCAGCAGCGGCAGGGGAAGAGTAGCGTGCAACTACAGCGTCGTACAAGGTCTGAGCCCTCTTGTACTGGCTAAAGTGTGCACGCTCAGTGGTCGGTAGCATCAGCAGCAGGGGCAGGGGAGGCACCAGAAGTGAGGTCAAACAGGGAGAGGCCGTCTGCCCTATTGCACTGCAGGAAAAGCTGCAGATCATCTACCTAGACCTCAAAGTCCACTGCCTGACCCTCAGCGTCAAAGGTGAGAACGCTAGGGGAAGCCATAACAGCAGGAGGCAGGGCAGTGCAGTGGCAGAGACTGTGCTCTTACCAGGTAGGTGGAGCGATCGGGCTGCTCGGCGGCTCGGCTGTCGGGCGACTCGGCTGCAGGGCGGCTCGGCTGCTGGGCGGCTCGGCTGCTGGGCGGCTCGGCTGTCGGGCGGCTCGGCTGCTGGGCGGCTCGGCTGCTGGGCGGCTCGGCTGCACGGTGCTGGGCGGCTCGGCTGTCGGGCGGCTCGGCTGCTGGGCGGCTCAGGAGGTCGGGCGGCTCAGGTGGCCGGCGGTTCGGCTGCTCAGCGTTGCGGGCGCTGGGAGGCGGGTGGTGGCGAGGTCGCAGATGGCGGCGGGCCGCAAAGGTGGGCGGGGCCGCGGTGGCGACGGGGCCAAAGTGGGGCCTAAGTGGGGCCGTTGAGGGGCCGACGGGGCCGAAGTGGGGCCGTAGCGAGGCCGCAGCGGGGCCTAAGCGGGGCCAAAGCGGGGCCGTAGCGGGGCCGAAGCGGGGCCGTAGCGGGGCCGTAGCGAGGCCGTAGCGGGGCCGACGGGGCCGTAGCGGGGCCGTAGCGGGGCCTAAGCGGGGCTGACGGGGCCGACGGGGCCGTAGCGGGGCCGTAGTGGGGCCGTAGCGGGGCCTAAGCGGGGCCAACGGGGCCGTAGCGGGGCCTAAGCAGGGCCGTAGCGGGGCCGACGGGGCCTAAGCGCGGCCGTAGCGGGGCCGACGGGGCTGACGGGGCCGTAGCGGGGCCGTTGCGGGGCCTAAGCGGGGCCGACGGGGTCGACGGGGTTGTAGCGGGGCCGTAGCGGGGCCGTAGCGGGGCCTAAGCGGGGCCGACGGGGCCGTAGCGGGGCCTAAGCGGGGCCGTAGCGGGGCCGACGGGGCCTAAGCGGGGCCGTAGCGGGGCCGTAGCGGCCTAAGCGAGGCCGTAGAGGGCGGCTCGAGGGGCAGTAGCGGCCAATAGGGGCCACTAAGGCGGCTCGAGGCGCTACTCGGGTTAGGAGCTAAGCGCGCTCCGGGCAGGGAAGGAAAAAAAAGTTCGTGGTGGGCCCTAGGCAGTATTCCCACTCGGGAACCTGCTCTATACCATGACGAGAAGTGAGAATGGAATGAATGAACTATGAAACAGTTGGGTACAAGTACTAACCATAATTGGGTTGTACCTCTTATGGGCTACCCCACTACAGCCTACACCAATGTATAAGCTATAATGTTATGACAACTGAAGCCTCGAGCCACGTAACGCGCCTTGAAGACAGGCGGAGAGCCCGGCGGCCGCTTCACCCTGAAGATCCACATCCCACTGACGATGTTCGCCCCAGGTGGGGGAACCTCGTCGACGTAGGTGCCTGTGGACTTCCAGGAAGCCATCTCTACGTCCATGGCCGACTGCCACTGAGAGGAGTAGGGACCCTCGATCGCCTCAGCGTACGATCGAGGAGTAGGGATGTCTGGTGCATCAGGGTCTCCCTCACGGGCAATCAGCGTTGACACGAGATGGGGCAAAGCAGCCGCAAAGCACTGGAACTCCTCCTGCCTGTCCTCAAGGACGTCCGTGCTAAGAGCACACTCACCCCCGACGGACGGAGGACAGACAGACTCAGACTCAGCAACAAGACTGGCAGCGTAGTCTAGACGACAGCGAGCAGCGAAGTCGACAAGCTCAGCTACTAGAGCAGACGCAGCAACAGACTCAAAGGAAAGGTCAGTGACGACAGTAGCAAGAAGGCGCGTGACCGAAGGACTAGCAGCACGAAGGGAGTCAGACTCCGGGTCAGCAAGACAAGGAAGAGAGGACTCTGGAGGAGACGGCAACGGGACACACAGAGGAGCAGTGGAAGGACGCAGTGCCATCTGGTGTGTGCCGCGGACCGCAGGAGGACGCGGACGTGCAGTAAGACCACTAGTGCGAGCAGCACGAACAGGTGACGCGGGACGAGACGCAGGCTCACGACGCTCAGCAAGACCTCCAGTAGGACCAGTGTAGGGAGAAGGAGCAGGTAGAGGGGAGGCGGGCTGTAACTGTGACAGCGACTGGACAGGCGGTGGACACTCTAGGGGAGGAGCAGGACCAGTAGAGGGCGGGAGACCAAGAACCTGCTCCAGGAGCGGAACGAAGTACGGCCTCGGCCGCTCAGCGCCTCCAGAACCAGCAAGTACGGCACCAGTACCCCCATCGGCAGCACCAGCGCCAGCAGAACCTCCAGCTCCAGCAGCGCCAACTCCAGTACCCTCAGAAGCACCAGCGCCAACAGCACCGCCAGCGCCAACACCCCCAGCAGCTCTAGCTCCAGAAGCACCAACTCCAGTAGGACCGTCAGCACCAGCTGCCTCAGTAGCACCCCCACACGCACCAGCACCAGTAGAAACACCAGCACCAACACCCCCAGCAGCTCCAGCTCCAGCAGCACCAACTCCAGTAGGACCGTCAGCACCAGCTGCCTCAGCAGCACCCCTAGACGCACCAAAACCAGTAGAAACACTAGCGCCAACACCCCCAGCAGCTCCAGCAGTACCCCCAGACTCAGTAGCACGTCTCCAGCGGCGGGCGAACCACACGTGCAGCTCCTCTGGAGAGAGCGGCTCCCGCCTCGACGAAGTACCGCCGGCGGCCACACGAGCAGACCCAGCACCCCCAGGCTCCGCACCCTCAGGCTCAGCACCCCCAGGCTCAGCACCCCCAGGCTCAGTACCTCCAGTCTCAGCACCCCCAGACTCAGCACCCCCAGACCCGGCACCCGCAGACCCGGCACCCGCAGGCTCAGCACCTCTAGCAGCACCAGAGTCAACAGCTACCTATACAGGCTCGACTGCGTCTACCTGGGACACACCTGAAGGGGCAGGACCCTGAGGAGGGAGGGGGTCTACCTGGATAGCATCTGGCGCACGGAAGAGCAGCAGCGGGGGGAGGGGCGCAGTGCGGTAGGGGAAGAGACGGTAGTAAGGCATCGACTCGTCAAAGGTGACGTCCTGGGAGGACAGAACATGGCGCGTGGTGGGGTGGTAAAACTGCCAGCCAGGCGCATCAGGGGGGAAGCCAAGGAAGACACAAGGAACAGCACGAGGGGATAGTTTGTCCGCAGACAAGTCGCGGACAAACGCCCGAGATCCCCAGACCCGAAACGCAGACGCATCGCCAACCTTCCCTGTCCACCTCAAGGCGGGGGAGGTCTCTGGCAAGGAGACCCGGGGCTGAAGGTTGAGCTGATGTGCGGCGTACTGAACCACAAACGGCCACAGAAAAATGGGGGGCAGCCGCATGCATCATGGACGTACGCGCGACGTCCATGACCATGCCAATGCGGCGCTCAGCAATCCCATTTTGCTGTGGAGAGGCCGGAAGCGTGAAGGTGTGGCGGATGCCCTGTGCCCGACAGAAGGCTCCCAGACGGGCAGAGGAAAACTCCCCTCCTCTGTCCGAGTGCAGACGCAAAACAGGAAAGTCCGAGCCGAAACTCTCTCTGAGCTGGAGACGAGCTGCGTGGATCGAGTCGATCAACACCTCAGTGACGTCACCCTTGCTGCGCAAGGGGAAGACTGTGGTGTAACGCGAGTAGTCGTCAACGACCAGCAGAAAGTACCGCTCTCTCCCCTGCCCACTAACGCGGGCTGGGCCCCACACGTCCATGTGTAGAGTCTGCAGCGGAGCCTCTGTCGGAGGAAACTCGGAGGAGTGAGGGGCGGCGCGCTGTCGCCCCTCGACACAGGGGACGCCGGTAGGTCCTGGCCCCGGAGGAAGGGGAGGGAGAGACCGAGGAAGACCAGAGACAAGGACACGGGAGGCCATGCCTCGGAGACGAGGCAAGGAGGGGTGACCAAGGCGGTGGTGCCAAAGGAGAGTCTGGTGGGACAGCAGACGACACGAGCAGGGGGCACACTCTGGACCATACCTGGACGCCGCAGCAAACACCTGACTCGACGCAGCTACCTGGGCAGACTCAGCAGTAGGAGGAGACTCAGCAGTAAGGGTGTACAGGCTCGACCCTGGCCGACGGGTGAACGTGGCCAAGTGTCGGCCTGTCCGAGCACACCTGCAGTGGGTCACTCGCTGACTCGCAGGAGTGAACTGGTCAACCCCTCGATCCTGTAGGTCCACTACACTCACCAAGTTTGTAGAGAACGAGGGGAGGTAGAGACCAGACAGGGTGCCAGAGGGGGCTGCAGGGCACGGAAGGACAGTGGAGAAGCTAGCAAGGACAGGACCCCCAGAGGGGTCTGCCAGGGAGACTGCAACCGGCCGACTAAGCGGCGTAAGAGTGGTGCGGACTCGAAAGAAGGAGCGGGACGCACCCGAGTCCACGGTGAAGGTGTGGAAGGCCTGAGCCGACGTAGTACCTGAGAGAGCAGACTCACCAGCGCCTGGGGCGGCAGACGCACTGGCACCTGGGGCAGCAGACGCACTAGCACCTAGAGCAGCAGTCTCACCAGCACCTAGCGCAGCAGCCTCAATGCCCGGGTCAGGCGGTACACACAGGTAACAGGCACCCTCAACACTATCAGCAACAGCATACATGGCAGCAAGAATAGCATCAAAGTCAAGATCAAAGATAGCAACCCCAGCGAGGGATCTCTGACGCCTCAGGGAACTGGCAACGCCAGGCGTCCGTCAGGCGACCAAAGCAGCGCTTGGTGGAGTGCGGACCTCCGCACTGCTCACCAGTGCGGTCGCCGGTATGGAGAACGTAAGAGCAGGGACAAAAACCCCCACCGCGCTGGCGTGCAGTGTACCACTCACGAAGGTGCTGATGGGACAGGGTCACACCACTCCGCTGCTGCTGCTAGCGGCGACCACCACCGGCGCCACTCCTCGGCGCAGAGTCGCGACTCGCTCCACCACCGCCGCCTCCGCCGCCGCCGCCGCCTCCGCCGCCGCCGCCGCCTCCGCCGCCTCCGCCGCCTCCTCCACCTCCGCCTCCTCCACTACCTCCGCAGCCTCCGCTCCCTCCGCCACCTCCACCGCCTCCGCCGCCTCCACTGCTGCCGCCGCTGCCGCCACCCCCAGCAACACTCCCACCACCACCCCCACTCCCTCCACTGCCTCCACCACCACCTCCACCGCCCCCTCCACCCCCTCAAGTGCCCTTGCCCCCCTTGCCCTTGCCGGTGCGGCGTCTCCCGCTCGGGGCAGACGCAGCGCCGACCGACTTGAAACCAACGAGGTCGGCCGCAGCAGCAGAGGCAACAGAGGGCAAGAGGGGGGAGGGAGAACACCCCTCAAAGACGGGGGTGCGAGGGTCACCACGAGAGGCTCCTACAGGAACTATGCTCTTCTCTATCGCTAGGAGGGCCTTCTCGAGGAGGTCAACGGTGAGAGTGGTGGGGCAAATAGAGAGGAAGTGGTCCCTGACTACACGGAGAGAGTCAGGGAGACGGGTGACTATGTAGTAGAGGGTGATGTACATGGGGGGGGGGGTTCTTGGCGCAGAACTCAGCAGGAAGCGCAGCGCGGTAGCGAGTGTCACTAGTGCGGAGGTGCGTAATGAGGTCAGCGACTGTGGGAAAGGCAGCAAGGTCAGGGAAGAGGTACGGTAGCATGAGGCGGCTTAGTGCAGCAGTGGCAGGGGAAGAGTAGCGTGCAACTACAGCGTCGTACAAGGTCTGAGCACTCTTGTACTGGCTAAAGTGTGCACGCTCAGTGGTCGGTAAGTGGCGGCGCACAGCAAGGCGAGCACCAGCTTCACGTGTGGCCCACTGTGAGCGAACAGTGGCGTCAGCATCAACAGCAGGGGCAGGGGAGGCACCAGAAGTGAGGTCAAACAGGGAGAGGCCATCTGCCCTATCGCACTGCAGGAAAAGCTGCAGATCATCTACCCAGACCTCAAAGTCCACTGCCCGACCCTCAACGTCAAAGGTGAGAACGCTAGGGGAAGCCATAACAGCAGGAGGCAGGGCAGTGCAGTGGCAGAGACTGTGCTCTTACCAGGTAGGTGGAGCGATCGGGCTGCTCGGCGGCTCGGCTGTCGGGCGGCTCGGCTGCAGGGCGGCACGGCTGCTGGGCGGCTCGGCTGCTCGGCGGCTCGGCTGCTCGGCGGCTCGGCTGCATGGTGCTGGGCGGCTCGGCTGTCGGGCGGCTCGGCTGCTGGGCGGCTCGGCTGCCGGGCGGCTCGGTTGTTGGGCGGCTCGGGCGGTCGGGCGGCTCAGCTGGCCGGCGGTTCGGCTGCTCGGCGCTGCGGGCGCTGGGAGGCGGGGTCGCAGGTGGTGGCGAGGTCGCAGGTGGCGGCGTAGAGGGGCCACAACGGGGCCGTAGCGGGGCCTAAGTGGGGCCGTAGCGGGGCCGATGGGGCCGAAGCGGGGCCCAAGTGGGGCCGTAGAGGGGCCGACGGGGCCGAAGCGGGGCCGCGACGGGGCCGTAGCGGGGTCGTAGCGGGGCCGCAGCGGGGCCGCAGCGGGGCCAAAGCGGGCCCGGCCTGAAGCGAGGCCTGAGCGGGGCCGCGACGGGGCCGACGCGGCCTAAGCGGGGCCGATGGGGCCGTAGCGGGGCCGTAGCGGGGCCGTAGCGGGGCCGTAGCGGGGCCGACGGGGCCGACGGGGCCGTAGCGGGGCCGTAGCGGGGCCTAAGCGGGGCCGACGGGGCCGTAGCGGGGCCGTAGCGGGGCCGTAGCGGGGCTTAAGCGGGGCCGACGGGGCCGTAGCGGGGCCGTAGCGGGGCCTAAGCGGGGCCGACGGGGCCGTAGCGGGGCCTAAGCGGGGCCTAAGCGGGGCCGACGGGGCCGTAGCGGGGCCGTAGCGGGGCCGTAGCGGGGCCTAAGCCGGGTCGTAGCGGGGCCGACGGGGCCTAAGCGGGGCCGTATCGGCCTAAGCGAGGCCGTACAGGGCGGCTCGAGGGGCAGTAAGGGTGGCCAATAGGCGCCACTAAGGCGGCTTGAGGTCCTACTCGGGTTAGGAGCTAAGCGCGCTCCGGGAAGGAAAAAAAAGTTCGTGGTGGGCCCTAGGCAGTATTCCCACTCGGGAACCTGCTCGATACCATGACGAGAAGTGAGAACGGAATGAATGAACTATGAAACAGTTGGGTACAAGTACTAACCCTAATTGGGTTGTACCCCTTATGGGCTACCCCACTACAGCCTACACAAATGTATAAGCTATAATGTTCTGACAGATATGATGAACTAAATATTGAATGAAGAATGCATAATTATGCTGCATATACGACTGTGGTAATGAAATGAATGCATAGCATGATGAAAATGCGTCACAGTTAATTGATCCAGACCCTATGCTACCGCATCCCTTGCCTAGCATGGGGGGGAGCTAAATAGCATAGTTCCTGAATCAACCAGCTGTCACATGAAACAACACAATCTGTGCAATCTAAAAAAGGTCAATTCTATCAAATCCATTTCGAATGGACACACTCACTAAGTGCGCAAAGATCCTTCTCGGAAATGATAGTTTGATCCATTTTTTTAAAACACACCAGACATGTGTTATTAATGCAATGGAAGCATGAATGAAAGCACATGCGCACACAACACAACGAATACACACACGCACATAGACACATACAAACACATACACATAATCACACACAATCACACAAACTAAAAACGCTCAATGCATCAACTGTTTAGAAAAAAAACCTAGGAGCAAAATTATACCTTAGCAATATACATACAACCCTACACAGAACAATCTGTACATACCTTAGCTACCTGGGCAGACTCAGCAGTAGGAGGAGACTCAGCAGTAAGGGTTTACAGGCTCGACCCTGGCCGACGGGTGAACGTGGCCAAGTGTCGGCCTGTCCGAGCACACCTGCAGTGGGTCACTCGCTGATTCGCAGGAGTGAACTGGTCAACCCCTCGATCCTGTAGGTCTGCTCCACTCACCAAGTTCGTAGAGAACGAGGGGAGGTAGAGACCAGACAGGGTGCCAGAGGGGGCTGCAGGGCACGGAAAGAGAGTGGAGAAGCTAGCAAGGACAGGACCCCCAGAGGGGTCTGCTAGGGAGACTGCAATCGGCCGATTAAGCGGTGTAAGAGTGGTGCGGTCTCGAAAGAAGGAGCGGGACGCACCCGAGTCCAGGGTGAAGATGTGGAAGGCCTGAGCCGACGTAGTACCTGAGAGAGAAGACTCACCAGCACCTGGGGCGGCAGACGCACTGGCACCTGGGGCAGCAGACGCACTAGCACCTAGAGCAGCAGTCTCACCAGCACCTAGCGTAGCAGCCTCAATGCCCGGGTCAGGCGGTACACACAGGTAACAGGCACCCTCAACACTATCAGCAACAGCATACATGGCAGCAAGAATAGCATCAAAGTCAAGATCAAAGATAGCAACCCCGGCCTTAGCCAGATTTCCCCAGCGAGGGATCTCTGACGCCTCAGGGAACTGGCGACGCCACGCGTCCATCAGGCGACCAAAGCAGCGCTGGGTGGAGTGCGGACCCCCGCACTGCTCACCAATGCGGTCGCCGGTACGGAGAACGTAAGAGCATGGACCAAAACCCCCACCACGATGGCGTGAAGTGTACCACCAACGAAGCTGCTGAGGGGACAGGGTCACACCACTCCGCTGCTGCTGCTGGCGCTGACCACCACCGGCGCCACTCCTCGAGGCAGAGTCGCGACTCGCTCCACCACCGCCGCCTCCGCCGCCGCCGCCGCCTCCGCCGCCGCCGCCGCCTCCGCCGCCTCCGCCGCCTCCTCCACCTCCGCCTCCTCCACTACCTCCGCCACCTCCGCTCCCTCCGCCACCTCCACCGCCTCCGCCGCCTCCACTGCTGCCACCGCCGCCGCCACCCCCAGCACCACTCCCACCACCATCCCCACTCCCTCCACCGCCTCCACCACCACCTCCACCGCCCCCTCCACCCCCTCCACTGCCCTTGCCCCCCTTGCCCTTGCCGGTGCGGCGTCTCCCGCTCGGGGCAGACGCAGCGCCGACCAACTCGAAACCAACGAGGTCGGCCGCAGCAGCAGAGGCAACAGAGGGCAAGAGGGGGGAGGGAGAAAACCCCTCAAAGACGGGGGTGCGAGGTTCACCACGAGAGGCTCATACAGCGACTATGCTCTTCTCTATCGCTAGGAGGGCCTTCTCGAGGAGGTCAACGGTGAGAGTGGTGGGGCAAACAGAGAGGAAGTGGTCCCTGACTACACGGAGAGAGTCAGGGAGACGGGTGACTATGTAGTAGAGGGTGATGTACATGGGGGGGGGGTTCTTGGCGCAGAACTCAGCAGGAAGCGCAGCGCGGTAGCGAGTGTCACTAGTGCGGAGGTGCGTAATGAGGTCAGCGACTGTGGGAAAGGCAGCAAGGTCAGGGAAGAGGTACGGTAGCATGAGGCGGCTCAGTGCAGCAGCGGCAGGGGAAGAGTAGCGTGCAACTACAGCGTCGTACAAGGTCTGAGCCCTCTTGTACTGGCTAAAGTGTGCACGCTCAGTGGTCGGTAGCATCAGCAGCAGGGGCAGGGGAGGCACCAGAAGTGAGGTCAAACAGGGAGAGGCCGTCTGCCCTATTGCACTGCAGGAAAAGCTGCAGATCATCTACCTAGACCTCAAAGTCCACTGCCTGACCCTCAGCGTCAAAGGTGAGAACGCTAGGGGAAGCCATAACAGCAGGAGGCAGGGCAGTGCAGTGGCAGAGACTGTGCTCTTACCAGGTAGGTGGAGCGATCGGGCTGCTCGGCGGCTCGGCTGTCGGGCGACTCGGCTGCAGGGCGGCTCGGCTGCTGGGCGGCTCGGCTGCTGGGCGGCTCGGCTGTCGGGCGGCTCGGCTGCTGGGCGGCTCGGCTGCTGGGCGGCTCGGCTGCACGGTGCTGGGCGGCTCGGCTGTCGGGCGGCTCGGCTGCTGGGCGGCTCAGGAGGTCGGGCGGCTCAGGTGGCCGGCGGTTCGGCTGCTCAGCGTTGCGGGCGCTGGGAGGCGGGTGGTGGCGAGGTCGCAGATGGCGGCGGGCCGCAAAGGTGGGCGGGGCCGCGGTGGCGACGGGGCCAAAGTGGGGCCTAAGTGGGGCCGTTGAGGGGCCGACGGGGCCGAAGTGGGGCCGTAGCGAGGCCGCAGCGGGGCCTAAGCGGGGCCGAAGCGGGGCCGTAGCGGGGCCGAAGCGGGGCCGTAGCGGGGCCGTAGCGAGGCCGTAGCGGGGCCGACGGGGCCGTAGCGGGGCCGTAGCGGGGCCTAAGCGGGGCTGACGGGGCCGACGGGGCCGTAGCGGGGCCGTAGTGGGGCCGTAGCGGGGCCTAAGCGGGGCCAACGGGGCCGTAGCGGGGCCTAAGCAGGGCCGTAGCGGGGCCGACGGGGCCTAAGCGCGGCCGTAGCGGGGCCGACGGGGCTGACGGGGCCGTAGCGGGGCCGTAGCGGGGCCTAAGCGGGGCCGACGGGGTCGACGGGGTTGTAGCGGGGCCGTAGCGGGGCCGTAGCGGGGCCTAAGCGGGGCCGACGGGGCCGTAGCGGGGCCTAAGCGGGGCCGTAGCGGGGCCGACGGGGCCTAAGCGGGGCCGTAGCGGCCTAAGCGAGGCCGTAGAGGGCGGCTCGAGGGGCAGTAGCGGCCAATAGGGGCCACTAAGGCGGCTCGAGGCGCTACTCGGGTTAGGAGCTAAGCGCGCTCCGGGCAGGGAAGGAAAAAAAAGTTCGTGGTGGGCCCTAGGCAGTATTCCCACTCGGGAACCTGCTCTATACCATGACGAGAAGTGAGAATGGAATGAATGAACTATGAAACAGTTGGGTACAAGTACTAACCATAATTGGGTTGTACCTCTTATGGGCTACCCCACTACAGCCTACACCAATGTATAAGCTATAATGTTATGACAACTGAAGCCTCGAGCCACGTAACGCGCCTTGAAGACAGGCGGAGAGCCCGGCGGCCGCTTCACCCTGAAGATCCACATCCCACTGACGATGTTCGCCCCAGGTGGGGGAACCTCGTCGACGTAGGTGCCTGTGGACTTCCAGGAAGCCATCTCTACGTCCATGGCCGACTGCCACTGAGAGGAGTAGGGACCCTCGATCGCCTCAGCGTACGATCGAGGAGTAGGGATGTCTGGTGCATCAGGGTCTCCCTCACGGGCAATCAGCGTTGACACGAGATGGGGCAAAGCAGCCGCAAAGCACTGGAACTCCTCCTGCCTGTCCTCAAGGACGTCCGTGCTAAGAGCACACTCACCCCCGACGGACGGAGGACAGACAGACTCAGACTCAGCAACAAGACTGGCAGCGTAGTCTAGACGACAGCGAGCAGCGAAGTCGACAAGCTCAGCTACTAGAGCAGACGCAGCAACAGACTCAAAGGAAAGGTCAGTGACGACAGTAGCAAGAAGGCGCGTGACCGAAGGACTAGCAGCACGAAGGGAGTCAGACTCCGGGTCAGCAAGACAAGGAAGAGAGGACTCTGGAGGAGACGGCAACGGGACACACAGAGGAGCAGTGGAAGGACGCAGTGCCATCTGGTGTGTGCCGCGGACCGCAGGAGGACGCGGACGTGCAGTAAGACTACTAGTGCGAGCAGCACGAACAGGTGACGCGGGACGAGACGCAGGCTCACGACGCTCAGCAAGACCTCCAGTAGGACCAGTGTAGGGAGAAGGAGCAGGTAGAGGGGAGGCGGGCTGTAACTGTGACAGCGACTGGACAGGCGGTGGACACTCTAGGGGAGGAGCAGGACCAGTAGAGGGCGGGAGACCAAGAACCTGCTCCAGGAGCGGAACGAAGTACGGCCTCGGCCGCTCAGCGCCTCCAGAACCAGCAAGTACGGCACCAGTACCCCCACCGGCAGCACCAGCGCCAGCAGAACCTCCAGCTCCAGCAGCGCCAACTCCAGTACCCTCAGAAGCACCAGCGCCAACAGCACCGCTAGCGCCAACACCCCCAGCAGCTCTAGCTCCAGAAGCACCAACTCCAGTAGGACCGTCAGCACCAGCTGCCTCAGTAGCACCCCCACACGCACCAGCACCAGTAGAAACACCAGCACCAACACCCCCAGCAGCTCCAGCTCCAGCAGCACCAACTCCAGTAGGACCGTCAGCACCAGCTGCCTCAGCAGCACCCCTAGACGCACCAAAACCAGTAGAAACACTAGCGCCAACACCCCCAGCAGCTCCAGCAGTACCCCCAGACTCAGTAGCACGTCTCCAGCGGCGGGCGAACCACACGCGCAGCTCCTGTGGAGAGAGCGGCTCCCGCCTCGACGAAGTACCGCCGGCGGCCACACGAGCAGACCCAGCACCCCCAGGCTCCGCACCCTCAGGCTCAGCACCCCCAGGCTCAGCACCCCCAGGCTCAGTACCTCCAGTCTCAGCACCCCCAGACTCAGCACCCCCAGACCCGGCACCCGCAGACCCGGCACCCGCAGGCTCAGCACCTCTAGCAGCACCAGAGTCAACAGCTACCTATACAGGCTCGACTGCGTCTACCTGGGACACACCTGAAGGGGCAGGACCCTGAGGAGGGAGGGGGTCTACCTGGATAGCACCTGGCGCACGGAAGAGCAGCAGCGGGGGGAGGGGCGCAGTGCGGTAGGGGAAGAGACGGTAGTAAGGCATCGACTCGTCAAAGGTGACGTCCTGGGAGGACAGAACATGGCGCGTGGTGGGGTGGTAAAACTGCCAGCCAGGCGCATCAGGGGGGAAGCCAAGGAAGACACAAGGAACAGCACGAGGGGATAGTTTGTCCGCAGACAAGTCGCGGACAAACGCCCGAGATCCCCAGACCCGAAACGCAGACGCATCGCCAACCTTCCCTGTCCACCTCAAGGCGGGGGAGGTCTCTGGCAAGGAGACCCGGGGCTGAAGGTTGAGCTGATGTGCGGCGTACTGAACCACAAACGGCCACAGAAAAATGGGGGGCAGCCGCATGCATCATGGACGTACGCGCGACGTCCATGACCATGCCAATGCGGCGCTCAGCAATCCCATTTTGCTGTGGAGAGGCCGGAAGCGTGAAGGTGTGGCGGATGCCCTGTGCCCGACAGAAGGCTCCCAGACGGGCAGAGGAAAACTCCCCTCCTCTGTCCGAGTGCAGACGCAAAACAGGAAAGTCCGAGCCGAAACTCTCTCTGAGCTGGAGACGAGCTGCGTGGATCGAGTCGATCAACACCTCAGTGACGTCACCCTTGCTGCGCAAGGGGAAGACTGTGGTGTAACGCGAGTAGTCGTCAACGACCAGCAGAAAGTACCGCTCTCTCCCCTGCCCACTAACGCGGGCTGGGCCCCACACGTCCATGTGTAGAGTCTGCAGCGGAGCCTCTGTCGGAGGAAACTCGGAGGAGTGAGGGGCGGCGCGCTGTCGCCCCTCGACACAGGGGACGCCGGTAGGTCCTGGCCCCGGAGGAAGGGGAGGGAGAGACCGAGGAAGACCAGAGACAAGGACACGGGAGGCCATGCCTCGGAGACGAGGCAAGGAGGGGTGACCAAGGCGGTGGTGCCAAAGGAGAGTCTGGTGGGACAGCAGACGACACGAGCAGGGGGCACACTCTGGACCATACCTGGACGCCGCAGCAAACACCTGACTCGACGCAGCTACCTGGGCAGACTCAGCAGTAGGAGGAGACTCAGCAGTAAGGGTGTACAGGCTCGACCCTGGCCGACGGGTGAACGTGGCCAAGTGTCGGCCTGTCCGAGCACACCTGCAGTGGGTCACTCGCTGACTCGCAGGAGTGAACTGGTCAACCCCTCGATCCTGTAGGTCCACTACACTCACCAAGTTTGTAGAGAACGAGGGGAGGTAGAGACCAGACAGGGTGCCAGAGGGGGCTGCAGGGCACGGAAGGACAGTGGAGAAGCTAGCAAGGACAGGACCCCCAGAGGGGTCTGCCAGGGAGACTGCAACCGGCCGACTAAGCGGCGTAAGAGTGGTGCGGACTCGAAAGAAGGAGCGGGACGCACCCGAGTCCACGGTGAAGGTGTGGAAGGCCTGAGCCGACGTAGTACCTGAGAGAGCAGACTCACCAGCGCCTGGGGCGGCAGACGCACTGGCACCTGGGGCAGCAGACGCACTAGCACCTAGAGCAGCAGTCTCACCAGCACCTAGCGCAGCAGCCTCAATGCCCGGGTCAGGCGGTACACACAGGTAACAGGCACCCTCAACACTATCAGCAACAGCATACATGGCAGCAAGAATAGCATCAAAGTCAAGATCAAAGATAGCAACCCCAGCGAGGGATCTCTGACGCCTCAGGGAACTGGCAACGCCAGGCGTCCGTCAGGCGACCAAAGCAGCGCTTGGTGGAGTGCGGACCTCCGCACTGCTCACCAGTGCGGTCGCCGGTATGGAGAACGTAAGAGCAGGGACAAAAACCCCCACCGCGCTGGCGTGCAGTGTACCACTCACGAAGGTGCTGATGGGACAGGGTCACACCACTCCGCTGCTGCTGCTAGCGGCGACCACCACCGGCGCCACTCCTCGGCGCAGAGTCGCGACTCGCTCCACCACCGCCGCCTCCGCCGCCGCCGCCGCCTCCGCCGCCGCCGCCGCCGCCTCCGCCGCCTCCGCCGCCTCCTCCACCTCCGCCTCCTCCACTACCTCCGCAGCCTCCGCTCCCTCCGCCACCTCC